CTGAATTCCTGTGATAATCATAATATGCTATCATGTATCACTTTTAAACTGCTCTCTCCCTCATTTGTTTCAATTCAGTATACATAATCTATCCAGTTTTTTTCAGTCTCACAGAGCAGCAAGCAACAAATGCTGGCGAGGTTGTGGAGAAACTGGAACTTCACTGTTGGTGGGAGTGTAAAATGGTGCAACCATTGTGGAAAGTGCTGTGGCACTTTCTCAAAAAGGTGCAAATAGAGATACCATTTGACCTAGCAATTCCACTACTGGGAATATACCCTAAAGAGACCATAACTGATATCCAAGCAGATATATGCACACCCATGTTTATTGCAGCTTTGTTCACAATAGCAAGGAGTTGGAAACAACTTAAGTGCCCATCAACAAACAAATGGATAGAGAAGCTGTGGTATATTCACAGAATGGAATACTATGCTGCATTGAAAAACAAGGAACTCATGTAATATTATTCAAAATGGGTGAGCCTGGAGGACATTATGCTGAGTAAAATATCTGTTACAAAAGGGCAAATACTGCATGGTGCCACTGTTGTAGAAAGTGACTGACATCAGGGTTGGTGTAAGATAAACTTTTAATATGGTGCTTCCAAATCCTTCAAAATGACACTCAAGAACCTACTCTGTACATATCTTCTAAGACCTCAGGATGGAGAAGTTACTGAATGAAAAGATGAGTAAAATGACCATTTCCCCAGGTGTTCAGCCTGTAGGACACCAGTTAGCATGTGATAAATAAGGCTGCTGACACTGGGCACACAGATGTTAGCACACCTGATCTGAACAGCAGAGGAATGCCAGGGATGCAGGCTATTGCAATGGACAGATAGCCTCCTACTTCTCAGGGTGACACTAGGCCGTCATTGTATTGTCTTCCCTTTCCTTCCCTCCCCAGAACACATCCTGACAGTTAAACTCAGGAGAGTTTAGTGACCTTATCTCTAACCCAACACATAATTGTACTAAGGCAATGATAGTAACAAAATGTCAGATTGTTCTTCCATTAATGTTTACTGGGCTTCAGACACATCACAAGATCAATGGGAGCCTGAGAAACAGGGATGATACAATGAAATTATTTTGAAGGTTAATGGGATAGTTTTATATACTCATTGAACTTTACAAAAATGTACATATGTATAAAAATCCACACACCAATATAATCATAAATTTTTTTAAGACAAATTAACAAGCTGTACCTAAATGTCACAATTTTTATGTTAGTTGTTATTGATTTCCTTTGAGGTAAGCACAACTCAAAGCCCCTCTACAACTATCAATGTTTATCAAAGTTCATAGTTTCTGGAGGCATGTTGTTGTTTTTATGTGCCTTCAAGTAGCTGGTGACTCATAGCGACCCTATGTACAACAGCTCTAAACTCTGCTTTGTCCTGTGCCAATCTCACTGTCTCCGACACACTCATCCCGATTGCCCCAGTCATCGAATCAATCCACATCCCAGAGGGCCTTCCCCTCCTGAGCCTGCCCTCCACCCTCCCAAGCATGATGTCCTTCTCCAAGGACTGGTCCCTCCTTACAACATGACCAAAGTATGTCAGATGAAGTTTCAGAATCCATGCCTCCTAGGAGCAGCCCGGTTTAACCCCCTCCAGGATGAATCTGTTTGTTTTCTTAGCAGTCCAAGGTGCCCTCAACACTCTTCTCCAACACCAAAGCTCAAAAGCATCAATTCTCCTTCTATCCTCCCTGGTCACTGTCCAGCTCTCTGATGCGTAACAAGTGATTGCAAAGACCATGGCCTGTACCAGATGCACCTTATAAAGTGGATGCCACTCTTGCCTACTCAGAATAAATAGAAACACTGACTTCACCAAGTTATTAGGACGTAGATGGGAGAACAGATTGAAGATGTCAAGAACCTCCTTTTACTTGGATCTCCAATTGATATGCATGGCAACAGCAGACAAGAAACAAAAAGATAAGGGAGCTCTGGTAGCCTAGTGTCATGAAGCTGCACTGCAATCCTAGAGGTACACAGTTCGAATCCACCAGATAATCTGCAGGAGAAAGACGGGTAATCTCCTCCTGTACCAGTCATGTCCGATTTGACAGTACACACACAAAATTAAAAAAAAAAAAAAGATAGGTTGTACTGAGAAAGTCTCCTGTCTCCTGTTACAGACCTCTCCAAAGAGCAACAATACCAATTTAAAGACTGAAGTGTGCCTGATGCAAGCTATGGCCTTATCAATTGCTACCTAGGCATCTGAAAGTTGGACAATCAGGATGTGAGAACAACTAATTGATGCCTCCGAATTGTAGTACTGGAAAAGAATATTAAATATGCTATGGACGGCCAAAATTACAAACTCTCTTGAAGAAAGTGCATCCAGTGTGCTCCTCAAAGGCCAGGCTGGTAAAACTTTGACCACATACTCTGGGCATGCTGAGGAGGGGCCAGTATGTGGAAAAGTATGCTGAGCAAAGTGAAGACTCAGAAACACAGGACACAGTGCCAGGAACAATGGACTTCAAACATGAGAGATCATGAGGATGGTGGGGTAAGGTTTGGATGTATTGTTCACAAGGTCATTATGAATTATAGTCAACTCAATGGCACCTAACAACAAAAAAACATCAAGTGAGAGTCACCTCTTGTAGAGTTTTTCCTACTCTCTAGCAACAGAGATACATTCAGCTCCTAAAAGGACCACTCATGTCTTAGTCTTTTAAAACACATATCTACAAAGTAGGGGTGCGTGGAGTGTATTTCAGTAAATAATACTAAGCTATAAATACACTGTACAATGATGACCCCTTAAGCCATCATATTTATAATACAAAATTTAATTTTTTATTAATTTTAATGAAAATTTACAGTGACTTTGGATTTCCATTTATTCATTGTTGCACTTTTCTCCCTGCCCACCCCTCCCCCAGTACACTCTTCTCTTTGAAAAGTAAAAGTTCCCTCATATAATACAAAATTTTGAAAAATATCTTGCATCAACAGGTGATTGAGCATTCCTAATTCTGTAGCTTTTGACTGATGGCTTTGTTTTTAGCTCCAACTGCGACCACATGGCAGACTTCCACTTCAGCTCCCAGCTTCTGAAGCTCGTCCAACCAGATCATTTGCTTCTGTGACAGACGATCATTAGGGCCTTTAACTTCTACCAGCTGGAAAAGAAGTTTTACATAAAGATTAGAAGCTATGGAAATTGAAGATTTCTTAAAAGCAACTGAAATTTTCACTAATAACTACATAAATGTAACTGTGTCTGTGCACAAAAAAGTTCTGGTGGTAGAATACTGTGCTGATCAACAAAAGGCCTGGCTGTATGTCTGAACCACCAGCAGCCTTGAGGGGACAAGATGAATCGTTTCCTTCCATTCAGTTTACAGCCTCAGAATCTTGATGGAAGAAATAAGAGTTTAATTGATGAAAAGTTATTTTGTGAATTCTGGTGCATAGGCCCACATGGTGTCTTGCTAATCAAGGGGCTGCATGTCACGGGCAATTCAAATCCACCAGCACCTCAGAAAACCAACAGAGGGTCACTGTGAGTTGGAATCAACTCAATGGCAGTGAGATAATTTTTTTTATGTGAACAAATTTGTTGTGTGTCACTGAGCTGATCCTGACTCACACCAACTCTGTATGATAAAAGAAACACACCGACCCGCCCGCCCACAGGTCCCTATGCTATAACCTTTACAGCAGCTGACATCAGGTCCTTTCTCCCTCAGACAAGTTCACCCTGCTGAGCAGCCACGCATGAAACCATTTCACTACCAGGAATCCCTACTGTTGATGTCAGGTGTCATGACATTTACTATGACTCATAACAACCCTAAACTATCCTACTCCAACCTTACCATCTCTGAGATGCTCTACTCACTTGCTGGAATGACTTGTTGGAGTCACTGTTTCAATCCATCTTGTTGAAGGTCATCCTCTCTTTCTTTGATCCTCCACCTGTTCAAGCACGATGTCTTTTTCCTAAGACTAATTCTTCCTGACAACATACTCAAATTATGGGAGACCAAGTCTCAGTATCCTAGCCTCTAACGAACACCCGGCTTGTATTTCTTCCAAGACAAACTTGTTTGTTCTTTCGGCAATTCAATAAATTTCTCCAGTTTCAAGGCTCTGACTACCTAGTGGTAAGAAGCTGTGCTGCTAATCCAAAGGCATGTGGTTTGAATCCACCAGCTGTTCCTCAGGAGAAAGATGGGCAATATCCTCCCAAGTGCTTTACTGCCTCTGAAAACCCACTGGAAGGTCAGCTACGAATCAGTTCTGACTCGACGAGACTAACAACTTCACAAATACCATACTTCGAAGGTATAGATTCTTTTGTCATCATTATTCATTGTCCATCTTTCTGATTCACAGAAAGTAATTGAAAATACTATGGCGTGGATAAGAAACACCTTAGTCTTTAAAATGACATCCTTGCTCTTTAGCAAAGTAGAGAAGTCTTTGACAGATTTTCCCAGTGCAGCCTGTCTCTTGATTTCTTGAATGCTGCTACCTGAGATGCTGATTGTGGATCCAAGTAAAATGAAATCGTTAACTTCAATTTTTACCTCCATCTATTATTATGTTGCCTACTGGCCTACTGATGAGGAGTTTTTTTTCCTTGGTGTTGAGATATAATCCAAATTGAAGGCTGCAGGCTTCAAGTCAAATACAAAATTTCCATATTTCAATATTAATGTTATCCTGGGATCCATCTATATATTTTGTTACATGCTGTCTAGTCAACGCTGACTCATAACTGAGTCTCCAGTGGGTAGACAGGCCATCTTTCTCCCTAGAAACAGTTGGTACATTTGTACTGCTTGCCTTTGGGTTGGCAGCACAACTCCTTACTGCTAGCAACCAGAACTCATATGAATTCTGGTTGCTAGCAGTAAGGAGTTGTGCTGCCAACATATGTATGTTACTATTGTGTACCATAGAGTTGGAACCGATCCATAGCTGACCCTCCAGTGGGTTTTCAGAGACAGTTAATCGCATAGGAGGAGACTGAACAAAATCCTTCAGGTTGACAGTACACCTCCTTACTAATAAGCCACCAGAGCTCCTACATACACACACACACACACACACCCCCGCACATAATGAGTACATTTTTTCTTAATACAGCAAGCAGTAGTTTTAAACTATAAACAAGTTTGTTCCACTACTTAAAACACTATTACTTTTTTGTTACATATGAAATTCAATCCAAACTTTACAATAACCTACAAAACTGTCTGATTAACACACTTTACTACTCCAACTGCATCCTGGAAACAGGCCAGTCTTTCCTGGTCAACATTCCTTATTTGCTATTCCCTCTGACTAGGCTATTTTCTTGCTTTTCATAAGCATATCTTCCTATCTTCCAATATTCTTCCTTAATTTACCTCAGAGAAATCCATTGTCTTATCTAAAAAAACTTTCTTCTCCTTAGGGGAAAATATTTGAAGATATAATGGTTAGATATGTTCCCAATTTGATGAAAATATAAACTCAAAGATTCAAGAGCCATGGAACAGTAAGAGTATCATAATTAAGTCACATAATCAGTGATAAAGAGTCTATTTTGAAAATGTCAGAATTTTAGAGAATAAGACCACTGGCTGTGGCAAACAAGCTCCTGTTTGTACCTCCTACTTCTGCCATATCAATTTCAGCCTAGGCAGCCGTGTGGTATGGCACAGGAGTTTCCCTGCTGACTTGATTTCCAACAATCTGTTAATGAGCAAGAGGGACTTCAATGAAAGGTTTGAGAGAACCAACCAACAAGGTGCTCTAGCTCAAAGCCCACAAGAAGATGGACTCTGACTCCAAGACAGCCTGAGCCCCTAGCTTGCAGCTAGTACCCCAAAGGGTGGACCTGACTGGGGCTGTGAGGCAGACTGGAGTTGGGCTTCGGTGGGGCCAGCTTGCTGGGGTGGTGACTACAAGGAAGGTCTCTGTCCAAAGAGTCCTTCATCCCCTCTCACCCAGGAGGAGTCTGGGAGCCAGGGTTGGCGGTCTGCTTCCCACTTCTTCAGCATACCACAATCTACCTGACTCTGTTCCATTAGCCCCAAATCCAGTTTCCTATTCTAGGTATATTCCTCCAGCAAGAGACAGCATGACCTGGTAGGGTCCCATTGTCCCTCACTGCCAACCACACCACATGTGTGTCCATTATCTCCCCATATTCCTCACTCTCAGCTTCATCATGAGCCACTGAATCTGGGAGGACAGGGCTGGGGGCATCAGAGGAGGCCCCCACAGACCATGAAGGGAAAGAGATGAAAAGGTGGAGCTTAGCCCCGCTGGACAGGCAATATGTGTCCTACCAGTGGTTAGGGACCATCTCCCACGTGAGTCAAGAAGCTGAAGCTAAAATCCCTGCCAGGCTGACAGCCACAGAGAATGGCAGAGGGGCTGGCCTCACACAGACTGCCCTCTCCTTCGCAGTCTGTTAGTCCTGATTGTTATCATCAATCCCATTTTAAAGATATTTAACAGAAACAACAGGACAACTCAAAGCCATCTATTCTTTCATGGTTTACTTTATTCACTGTCCAAATTCCATTTGTATAGAAAACAACTTTGAATACCACGGCTTGGATCAGGCACATCTTAGTCTTTAGACTGATATCCTCATTTTTCAGCATTTTAAAGAAGCCCTTGAAAGAAAATTTTCCAAATGTGTTATGTGTTTTGATTGCTCTAATGCTGCATCCATGGCTACAGATTGTAGATCAAAGAAAAGAAACAACTGACAACTTTCACCTCTTACTCATCAAGATGTTGCTGTTGACAAGCAACGTTATCTCATCTGCATAAGGTTAGGAAACAGAGATAAATAGCTCTCTATCCAGTAGAAGGTGAAATCAAAGAGGGAGCTCTGGTGGCCCAGCGGTAAGAATCTGTGCTGCAAGAATCTGCAAGTGGTTCAGATCTGCCAGCTGCTCTGTGGAAAAAAAGATGGGTAATCTCCGATGTGCTGTTTCTGACATTATAGGACACAATAACAACATCATCTAGTAGATTATATACATTTTAATCAAACACCTGCCCAATGTGGCTTTTTTTTTAAAAGCCTTTAAGAGTACACCAGGCTCAAGTTTGACGGCTTTCACTGTTTTGGCTGATTTCCCATTCTTTTTTTCTGACTTTCTTTTCAGTATCTTTCTCTGCCTCTTGTTCATCCACACCTGTGTTTGTCTAGAAGATTCTTTGTTTGTCTAAATGTAAGTCTCCATTTTAATGACAAATTCTTCATTACATTTTCTGTTGGTAATGTCTCTGTACAACAAGAGATGCTATACCTTTCATATTTTTAAGCCAGCTGACCTCTTTTGGCAAATTCTCTCTTCTCTATAGGCATATTCCTTTTCCATTTACTCTATAAGCTTCACAAACTCACATGCTGCAAGGTGAACACATCAACCAGAAGTTGCGATGTTTGTTTTCTTGAAGTTGAGATGTACCCATAATGAAGGTTGTCATCTGTGATCTGCAGTAAATGATTTGCATCTTCACTTTCCAGAAGAAACGTTATGTCATCTGCAGAACGCAGACTGTTGAGTCTTCCTCCAATCCTGATGCAACATTTTTGTTTAGAGTCCACCTTCCTGAATGATTTGCTCAGCACACACACTGAAAATTCATCTGACAGAAGCCACAGATATCACTCATTTCACAGCTTCTTCTGACTGAGGTGAGCTTGTGGTATCATGGCTCTAGTGCTAAGAGCATGCACATCCATGATGAATGGGGACCTAAACTGTAACCAGCCTGAAGACTGACAGATCACCTCCTCTTTTAAGGACTCCTGTTATCCATCACCTCCTGGGCTTACTTTTCTCACTGGCTGTAACCACATTTAGAGCTCATGCTCTCCACACTCGGCAGCTGGCAGACAGTTTTCCTTGTCCATACAGATTAGTTGGCGTAGACTAATTCTAGCATCTGATACCCCATCAGAGCTGGAGTAATGTACCAAGTGGACTAGTGTCCTCAATATTTTATCTCCTGATCTCCAGAGGCTGTCCCTGATGGGATGTCTTTGTGGACCTACCACTGAATGTTTGGCACCCATACTGTGGGAGACACCTGCTCTTCACCTCTTCATATTAGGAGACTGAGCCGTCCCTGACTATGGGTCCTGCCTGCGCTCAATCCT